GAAAGTAATGGTTGGAAATGGGTACCCCACAGATGAATGATTTAATTGCTTCCGTTGGAACTTAGACCCCCCTCAGATGGGAGCTGAGCTCCCACGTACCTAACTAGAAAACCTGAAAGCTGAATATCCATACCTTCATGTTTTGATAGAGGAGGAGCCAGCAAAGGACACTGATGACTTTAAATGTCCTAATAGGGAGATTTTGCAAGCAGGGAGGAGTGAGTGACGCACATGTCACTGGTTTAACAAGCAAAGAAAGCACAACTGTGTGAGCACAACTGACCTGAAGATCATGAGGAATCTAAAGTCAAACCTTAGTTAAATAAATTATGATATGAAGCAGAGAGTCATGAGGCCTCCTTTCTTTAACATTTACATTTCTATTCAAGGGCAGGATAAAACATATCCACAATACTTTTTACAGTGAATGTGTATATGAACAATTAAAAGCTGTAGCTTTCTGTCCTGAAAGGGTTTGCATGCACATGTTGGTAAGCAACAAGTCTTGTGCCCTCCCTGCCCGCAACTTTCCACTGTGGTGAAAACACTGTATCAGCCGAAACGAAAGCCACAGAAGGACTGGCCTTCAGCTCTCTGCAATGAAACCACACAGCATACAAAAGCTGTTCTACTTTCACTCAACAGCTTTTCTAATTTCTCTTCAAATGTGATGATTGTTTTGTTGTTATATGTAGAAATGCAGTTAGTTAGAATCCCATCAGCAGTAAATACATCGCTTCTCAAACTGGCACCTTGTTTACAGATCACACTGATTTCACTCTGTCAGTGTTATACATCAGCACCCTGCTTGCAGAAAAAATGCCTTGTGGAGCCTCATACTTGCAGAGCCAGACAACAGTGTCTTCCTCTGTAAACTGAGATACCTACAAATGTGCAGTACAGCTCAACAGATACAAAATCTGCTTTGTAGATTATCTAATAACTAGTCTAATAAGTACTTGTGATCAAATTTAAAATACTGTGCACTGCACTCCCTTTGGTCAGGTGCGAGCTCTTGAGATCAATGGGACATATTGTTTAGGAACATTTATAATAACACACTGTGTAGTGTAACAACACCTGATTTTTGAGTACCCCTTGCAAATAACTACAATCATTCCCGCCTACCAATAATATGGATAAATAAACACAGGCATTTATTGATTTCTACAATTTCAAATGACAAAATGAAGTGTGAATTTTGCAATTCACTAATGTGTTAATATAACCTCTTAAAATATTCATCTGACAAACACATGGTGTGTACACATTGTAAATAACGCCTCATTATTAGCCTGTCCTGCATTACAATACATATCAGAAAGTTCTGGATGTTTGGCTGCTTCTTTAGGACTGCCCTTGATGAGTAGATGCTGATCTAAGGCCTGTACCATGCAGCAGGATCTGAGATTATCCAGGTAACTTTGGGGTTAACCCTGCATTTTCAGTACCATGACGGTGGTTCACTTCTTACCAGGGTAGATCACCATGGTAACTTGTGCTTAATGGCTAACCTGCTCTGGAGCATGACATCACCAACTGTAGGAGATCCTACAGACAGTTTTATAGGCTGCTTTTATGTTTCCTGTGGTGATGTGGAGGAACTTTTGTATAGTGATAAAATCAGACTGATTGCAGTAGGCTACTACTATTCTTGTTGTAGGTTTTTTAGATATAAAAAACCTACTTACCACTTTGAAATGTGTCCACATTCGTGGATAGTTATTTTAACTCCATTTTGGGTTACTATATCATGGTACTCACTGACGCTAAGCTAATGGCTTGCCCACACCGCTTCGTATGACAGCTTATCCCGAATGCGATCGTTAGGGTTAGATAAGCCAGATAACAAAAAGATATCCTTTATATGTTGAACTTGCTTCGTGGTACAGGCCCCAGGTGTAGTGATGAAATCAGACAGAAGACAAAATAATGGCAATGGTAAGTGATTGAAGCCAGGCAACATGTACTAATAAGTCCTAAACAGTTGCAATTAATTCCTCACACCTTTAATCTCCTGCAGTCCTGCTTCCTGGCCGCAGGGGCTTCCTGGACATGGAGCTACCTGGCGCGTCTCTCTGCCATTCACACTTGGAGGAGGGGCAATTCTGTCCCTCTTGCGTGTGGTCTTAGGTCCTTTGTGCTCTGTGGCGGTCACTGGGTACCCTGGCTACTTGGGTTCTTGCCCGCCAGCCACTAGGGTCTTTTGCGGCGCTGTTGTGGAGTCCCACTCTCATTAATAACTACCGTGACAGTAACTCTGTGACAGGCTTATGCACATACACACCCACACACAAACACACACAATACAATCAAATGTAGGTTGTCCTTGTTCGTAAACTTTATCTTGTTGCATTTCATTTGTTTATTGTTTGTTTGTTTTTCTCCCCCTCACTGCTGTGTTGTGTTATTTCTTTTCCATGACTCTTGCTTGTTGGCTGTCTTACCAGTGGTTCATATGAAGATCAGTTTTCATTTTAATAAATTAATCTGCGTATAGTGTAGAGTTTGGCCCACAACAATAATAAGTGGCATTGCCTCAACAAAAACCTTGGTTCTCAATTGTCTTTTCTGTCTTAGGCTTAGTTTTCATCAACCAAGGTACCTTGTAGAGCTCGACTTGCACAGGATCCTGTAAATGCAACTCTTATCTGTCCTTGTCTATCCTTCTATGTTTGCACCATGTGCATTGAAACAAGTGCTAAAATACCAAACATGCTCTTCAGGTTCAGCTATAAGGTCATATCGCTGTACGGGCTCAGAACATTTGTTACAGGTTGAATGTTACAAATATAAACTCACTGGGTGGTAGAGTTGTGGTTGGTATGGTTTTAAGTGAGTGGGAAAAGAGCAATCTGCTATGACTAATGGTTTCTGCACAGACGATATGTAAATGAGACCACCGTTTTAATTACTGCAACATTGTTGTCACGGTCAGCAGTGACAGCACAGAGAACAGAGCTGCAGCACTGCAGCTGGTGACTGGCAGGTGTCAGGGATCTTTCTTGGTCAGAGTAGATTGTGTTTTTTTCTTATGTTACACCTTAATTTTGATTTTCCCTACCAGTACTAGATCAGGGCAACTTCAAATGCAACTCGTGGTGAACCAGATATTTTAGGCGTTAAAATCTCCCTCGTCACCAGACGCTGTGGGATTCTGTGGGATCCTCTTTTTTAATGATTAGTTTTGTTGCTTCTATATTTGTCCCATCTCTTTCTATATGTTCCTTTCACCTTGCCATTTGGACACAGATGATTGTTTAGATTGACATAGAGAAGGGTGATGTACACGTCACTTGTTTGACAGAAAGAGTCTGAGCACAACTGAGGGGAAAATTGTGACACTTCTAAAGTCATACATTTGTACAGTAAGTCTAAAAGAAAAGGTAAACTCTGGCCTAGCCTTGGTCATGTAGCTATATTTGGAACGATGTTTTGGAAAGACAAAGTGGGGTAGTTTCTACCACAGGAAGACTTGAGTATGCCATGGGTTTGTATTTTGTTGTACAATTTTACACACATAACTGCCACAGCCATAAATTTTAAACATGTGACCACTAATGTCATCTACAGTGGATCGATACATTGATGTCAGAGTACATTAACATCATAGACCAGGCTTTATCCAGGTCAGATTTATCCACCAATGGCCATTATAGACCCCAAAGAAGCAGGCTACTTTCACCAATGATCACTGTAATAGTGTAAGAATCATCTACAAATGTGTCCAGGAACACTCAGGTCACCACAGTCCCCTGATATCAGCCTCCAGACACAGCATTCACAGAGAGCAGCATCCATTAATAAAGCCTGACAATAGGACACTACAGGTTCCTGTTAAATCCCATCACAATGTGTGGCAGCTAGGTTCAGGGCCACAGGTGGACTACGCTTCCAATGTTTCATCCAGGCTTACCTACAGAACACATTCCCATCTGTAGGAAATATCTAAATATTGTCTGACATTAACATGTTAACTTGCATCTCAAATTGAGCATCTTGCTGTGACTCTACACATCACACCTCTCAGCTACCTTATCCTTATCTTTGTTGATTGTATTGTATGTATTTTGGTGTGAAGGTTATTGTGAATGAACATTTTCTGAAATATAACTTTGACTTGTATTCTGTGAGGTTTAACGTTTGCTTCAACACTCCTGAAAGCATCTATGTAGTCAGTTTGAGCAACATGATAAGCAACAAAAAACAGCCCGCCTCTTTGCATTGAGAACGCCCTTCGTGGGGCACACTTCATTTACGGACATTGCAGAGCTTCAGTCATACGCGCAATGATGAACTTTACCTTGATGACAGCTTTCATCCTCTGCAGCCTCAGTAAGTACTGCCACTGAATTACTCCCAGCTTCAAATTATTAACTTGCTGTCATTTATTAAGAGATAATGTTTACAGTCATGTTACTCTATTACAAGTACGTCTTTTTGTCTCTGCTGTATGTTTCAGGCTGGATCTCTGTCTCAGTTTCTGAGTCTCAGACTGTGGAGGTCCAGTCTGGTGAGGAAGTCACACTGCTGTGCTCCAACATTTCCAGAACTCCAACTACAACAGAGTGGTTCAGACTGATCAACAGAACCAAGCCCAGCTGTATCTCCTCCATGTACCAGTCTGATGTCGAAGCTTCATTCTGTCACAGATTTAAAAATGGAAGATTTGAAATGAGCTCCAACATTTCTACTGTCTTTCTTAAAATCAAGCAAGTTGATTTATCTGACTCTGGACTGTATTTCTGTGGATTTTACCTGAACAAACATACAGTCATTGCCAGTGCAACACATTTAAGTGTTAACGGTAAGATTGTAGTCAAGCATTACCTCTTTCAGATAACTCTTTTTCTTATCATGTTTATAGTATGTCTCATGTTATGTCACAGTAAAAATATAATAATAATAACAAACAACAAACAATAAATATGTATCAAATGATTTAACCTCTCTATTTTTTAAAGGTGAAATTAATGGTGAATCTGATGATGAAGTGGCTTTTAAGACTGAAAGTAAGGTTTTCCTTTGTTCACAAGATTTTTTTCATCGTGCAAGTTACCATACAGCCAGTAATTTCAATCTTAATCATGTCTAAAACTACCAGATTAATAACAGAATTTATTTATATAAATGTTCTTGTAGAGGAGCCTGGTGGAATGACAAACCTAATGTGTGAGATCCTGGCTGGTCTGGCTGTTTTCTTCACTATAGTCATAATTGTTCTGGCTGTTAAAATCAGAAAACTTCAGACAGGTACAGTAGATTTATAATTTGTTGTAAATGGTAAAAGCAAAGTATTTGGTCACTAATAATTAGCTAATCAGACATTTGTCTTCTGCCATTTAGCTCTGAATGAAGAACCGCAGCCAAAGGAAAACAAGGTGAACTCACAATTAATTTATATAAACTGTGGTTTTAAAGTTGCATTTAAACACATAAGTCTGTTAATGATGTTCCAAGCAGTTGCAGGCGGCTTCAAAGAGGAAATTTAGGCAGGCAGCATAATAGTTATATTTAACCTCAAGTAAAAAATAGTTGACGTTCATTAACTTTTTCAGAATGCAAGAGTTGTACACACTTTTTCCCGTCTTCACAAAGGTGATTTTGTTTTTCTTCCCTCTGAAACACAGAAATGCTTCATCACCAGAGGATGAATTGTCAAGAAAGAGACAATTGAGCATATCTGCTATGCAATTGCATATACTTGCTTGTAGTGCAGTGGCAAACAACAAATAGTTGCAACATTGTTATTTTAAAGTTCAAATAAAACCACTGCAAGGTGGAACAATTTTAGTTTTGTTAATGGGTTTTCGTCATACACTCTGACATACATCCTATTGTATATACAACCTTGGTTTAAATCAACAGTTTTTCTTAGGTTTAATGTAAATTATGAAAACAGGGATTATATCAAAAACAATGTTTTACCATTTAAATTAGACCAAGCTATACTATGTTTAACACTCATATTAGTTTAAATGATCCCTTTTTGGTAGAACCCACAAATCTGCCAATTTTATGGATTTTTGGCAACTCAGCTGCAGCATGTGTGATACAGTATGTGACTATGTGAAATACTCTGTTTTACAGAATCTGGGCTCAGATGAACTGAACTACGCAGCTTTAAGCTTCCAGCCAAAAGCAAAAAGAAACCGCAGGCCTGAGAGAGAACTGGAGCCAAATGTTGTGTATGCTGCCACCAGATAGACTCAGAAAGCTACTGGAACTGCAGTTCAGAGTGGAACTGATGCTTTATGATATTAATCTGCTGTTGATTTCGTGGTTGGGTACTAAGTGGAAGAAGTCACTGGCAAATAATAAATGTTAAATGATTCTATTTTTCCCAGCTTGTGTTTTTTGGCTCTATCTCTGTCAAAGAATCTGTCCTCATTACTTTGTCTGCTGTTTGTCTGAGAGGAAAAAGAACATGAAAGAGCTTTTCAGAAAGGACACTGATGGCTGAGACACTTACTTATAGGGTAAGTCTGTTGGGGGAGGAGTGAGTGAGGTACATGCCACTTATATGGCAGGAAGAGACGGCACAATGTGAACTGAAAATAACTGAGGGGAAAACTAGCTAATGACACAATTAAAGTAGCTGCTGTATTTAGGCTTTTCTGAGAAATAGTGAGGGGGAGAAAAACTATAGAATACACCGGCCCCCTGTGGTGACAAACATTGTCTGTATGAGTCAAATATAAAGTCTCCACAACAAGAAGACTTCAGCCATGAGCACAAACAACAAAGGCATTGCTATTCTCACAGACCGAGAATACTGCTCCCTTAGAAGTCCCTTAAAACACACTTTTGCATGTCTTTTCAACATGATCATAAGCTCATTCTCCTGCTTTGTCTCCATTCTTGATGTCATGGAGGAATCTTTGCAGCATAGACGGCATAGACAGCCCCACACACTGAACACGTACTGAATACACCACACTTAGTCCCATAGTCCTACACAACACCAGCAGTGGTTTGGGGCTAAAGTAACTGCAAACAAGTAAAGCTATTTGTCCATCAGGAACCGAAAGTTGAGGCAGAACAGCCAGAGGACATCAGTTGGAAAACCGGAAAATATTTTCTCCATTAAATATGATCCAGTTTCACCAAAATCAATGAAGTTGTGTTTTTGTAATGTAACCAGTGAGGCCTAGTCTTGCACAGATGTATCTCCACACTTTGTTACCTTAAAGAGACAGGATTCCCCACCACTGAGCTAGCCTTCCTCACTAGCTTGCCCAGTTTGTTGGCGCTATATGTCCCAATGCCACCTCTCCAGCACACTACAGCAAAGACGATGACACTGGCCACTACAGACTGGTAGAACATCCGTAGCAGCCAGTTCACTGAAAATCCAGCCTGGGACTTTGAGACAGAGAGTTTATATAAGCAAGACACCACTGCACTGAACAAGACCAGGTCAGGCAGAATGCTAAAATAGTTCAATATAATCAAAAACTACAATGCAGTCCCATAAAATAGAGCAGTATGTGTGTAAATGCATAAAAATCAAATCCCTCAGCTTCAGCTCTTAGTAAGCCTATCTCTGGCTCAGCTTCCCCTGTGCTGGAACCTGACTCTGCTTTTACTGATTGTACAGCTACATATGCACAAGAAGAACATCAGTAATAAATTTTACTAACCATAATCCATTTTCTAATTCTATCTATGCATAATATGATTGCCTACCCAGCCCTGCACACTGACACTGTACCTCTGGTTCATTTTCCTTGTCCTCCTGCTTCTCCTCCTCCTCATACTGCTGCTTCTCTTCCTCGTCCTTCTCCTGCAGCTCCTCCTGTTCCTCTGCCTCTTCCTTCAACTGTTGTTTATAATATATATATAATATATATAGTCTATCTGCCCATACATAAATGCATAAATAATGTCAGTGTAAAATAAATACATTACTCATCAGTGGCTGTGCTGGGTCCTGCCTCATATGCCACCTGCCACAGAACTTTTCCACCAAGGAAAAGGTCGATTAATTCGGCGCATTTAGCTGCCTCCGGAGCCAACATTGTTTTCTACTTAATTCTTATTTTTTCGGCACCACACATTTTGTCCTCCTCTTTCTTTCTTTTTGACATATTTACCTGCTCTGTTGTGCTTGTCACACAAACCTAGGCTATTGAGATTCAACTCCCAGATGGAAAGTAAACTCATTTGATGGTGCCGTTGAGACAATCAGATTTCAGAAAAAAAATGAGGATCGGCCCAAGTTGGGAGGGGCCGCTTGTTGTTGAGTTGCATCCCCAGGAACTTGTAGGTGTCTACCATCTCTACCCCCACGTCCCACAAACCTTCCTGAGTGATGATAAGGTGATGATGAGTGATTATTTTTTCTGCAGTCCTAACTGTCCATTGTAGTCTGCTCCTGTCCTTTTTGGTGACAGATCCAAACCAGACAGTGATGGAGGTTCAGAGGACAGACTGGATAATGGCTGTGTAGAACTGGCTCCTTAGGCAGGTTGAGCTTCCTGAGCTGACACAGGAAGTACATCCTCTGCTGGGCCTTCTTGATGATGGTGTCCGTGTTGGGCTTCCACTTCAGGTCCTGGGATATAGTGGAACCCAGAAACCTGAAGGTTTCCACAGCAGACACAGGGCTGTTGAGTACGGTGAGGCTGGCACAGTGAGCTGGGTGAGTTTGGTGCTGAGGATGTCCAGGATGATGGTGTTGAACGCCGAGCTGAAGTCCACGAACAGGATCCTTGCATATGTCCCTGGAGAGTCGAGGTGTTGCAGGATGTAATGCAGTCCCAAGTTGTATGCATCATCCACCGCCCTGTTAGCCCTGTAGGCAAACTGCAGGGGGTCCGGCAAGGGGCCTGTCATGTCCTTCAGGTGAAACACCAGTCTTTCAAAGGACTGCATGACTAAAGGATGGAGACACACCGTCAGGGCCAGGAGCCTTCGTGATCTTCTGCGTAGAAGAAGATCAGGAAAGAATAGTTTAGAAAGAATAGTTCTACCAACCATGGACCTTGTGTGTGTGTGTGTGTGTGTGTGTGTGTGCGTGTGTGTCTGAGTGCGTGTGTATGTGTGTGCATAAGCCTGTGACAGAATGTCGTCGTTAGTGAGAGTGAGATGCCACAACCGCGCCACACCAACCCCAGCAACAGGCAAGCAAGAACGCCAGTAGCCAGGGCACCCCCCAAAGCGCAAGGACCAGATGTCTTGGGGACAGCCACGCCCCGCCCCAATGGAGAACAGCAGAGAAACGTGCCGGGAGAACCAGGGCCGACAGTGCCCCAGCCCAGTCCGGCCGGAGGCCGTCACCCCAGAGCCAGCAGCCCCCGACCCTGTCAACCAGAGGCCGGTCCAGACCCCAACTCCTCCCAACGTGCCCCTCCCACCCCCCAAGCCCTTTGTGTCTAATATGTGATAAAGATTGAGGGGCGGCCAGTGGGGGAGAATGGTGCAGCCCCAACCCGAAGCACACAAACCCACACCTCCCCTTGCAAGGGCCCCCCATCCCACCTCAAGTCACCTCCCCCACACATTCCGCAGGCATACCGGAGCACCCAGAGCCCCACTGGGCCATCGTGGCAGGCACTCACTTTGTGTTTTTTTAAAGCAGACATTCTCTCCATGCTAATGTGGTCTATAAGGAGATTGCTATATTGGGTGATATATTCTTTTTGGCCTTCCAGTTCATGAGGATGATTTTCTTGGCGATGCATAGGGCAGTGAGAAGCATGTATGATGTGTCAACCTCTATACTTATGTCACTTAGGTAACAGCTTTACTTCTCTGCAGCCTCAGTAAGTACTGGCACTTGGTTATTCTCAGCACCAAATATTGTAAACTTTTTTGTGTGTGTCGCATTGAACATTACGTCACGGCAGTTGTGTGTAGCGTTGCTATGATGACAAGCTACATACTATCTCTGGGTACTGTCTGCAATGGAAAACGGAGCAGGGCCGAGTAGAGTCGAGTCTATCGATTTGCGCTATGGTAGCATTTTTCAGCAAGGTAGCATAGATCATCAGAACACCGGCAAGAGTTCAACGTTTAGTCCTATAAGACGATGCAACTCCGACTCTGTTTGGGCCTGGAAATTCACAATCACAACCTGTAAGTATGCTTTATTGGTTGTGAATTTTGTTTAACCAGTTGACGCCGATTATCGCAAATTCGCATCATACCTCTTCCTTGCAGACTGCAAGCCAAGATAGCACATGGATTCCCCCAATGCCTGTTTGTGCATATTCGATACGTACCTGGGAACCTTTTGCAAGCCCTGGTTTCTCGTTTATGCCTTTTGTTGCTAATTTGCATCGTACCTACATATACCTGAATTTATATCGTTCCTATGTTCTATAGACAACTTAACAATCTTCACTCAATTTAACAACAATTTGAAAGCAAATGAATATGTTGTAATGAAATTGTTTTGCCAATTTTTAGGTAAAATTGAGTTATATATGGTGATTTTTGTAGTGGTTTATGGTAAGACGTGGAACAATGATGTTGTGTGGTTGTGGACTTGAGATTAACTTATACCATCAGCTAGGTTACGGTTGCAGTCTGAAGCGGCTTTGATTTGGATCACACTACCTTGTTTATTACGACCCGCCCTTCTCTGCTTCTGAGTGGCTAGTGGTCCTTACCTGGGAACTGCACATATGCAACTCCCAACAAAGATTTTGTACAAGTAAGATGCATCAGTGTAGCTCAAGAGCGGAGCGTACAACACACAGGGTGAAAAGAGGAACTGCAGCAATGTGCAGTATGAGAAAAATATGGTGTTTTTTGAAAATTAAACCATGTAAACCTGTTCTGGTACAACCCCTAATTAAGATTTTGAACCTGAAAATGAGCATAATACCACCTCTTTAAAAGGTTTTTGCCACTCATCCATCCAGTTTGGAGTTCAGTGTCTCGCCCAAGGACATCTCCACATGTGGACAGGAGGAAGTGGGGGTCGAATCGCCAACCCTGTGATCAGTGGATGACCCACTCTATCTCCTGAGTGTCTCAGTGAATGTCGACTACCACTAAATATGATGTATGAGTATTATCAGCACCTCCGGTCTGACTGACTTCCAGCATCCCTGGTTGTGGTTCTCACATGCCTCTTTCTCTTTCTTCTCAATGTCTTTCAAATTTAAATAGTTTGCCCTTAATCGTAATGTAAAGATAACATTAATCTGAGCTTTGTGGGGGTCTCTGATATAAATA